AGCCCAGATCCAACGAGTGGAAGGGGCGCCGTAGTGCACGATACACGGTCGACAACGTGGCGTGTGCACGTCCAACTTGTCTCAGCGCTACCAAACCGAGTCGGATAGCACCCGAGGGACGGGACCTTCGAATACCCGAGACGCATCCTTCAGAGCCACTTCGATCCAGGGTCACGGCGGAAGGCCGTTCAGCATTTAAGAGTTCCCGAGGACATCGATCCAGGGAGTCTGACGGGTAGCACAGACTGACTGGGGATATAAATCCAGCGGAAAGCCTGACGGCGAATCCAAGTCGCGACGCAAGAAAGCCATTGCTGGTGGGGATACGCGAAGCGTCAAGAATTCTTCTTCCTCCTCCTCCTCATCATCATCATCCTCTCTTATTCCTCCTCCTCCCCTCTGAACCCGCGCGGGCCTGTGAGGGCGTCAGCAGCTCCGCGGCGGCATCGCCGGGGCGGGCGCCGCCCCAGGGCGCCACCTGGCAGAGAATGTGGCGCAGCCCCCCTCCCCCGATGCCATCCCCCTCTCTCCCGGCCCTTGGCCCCGCCGAGGCCCGCCTGCCCGTCCAAGATTTCCGACGATCCCGTTTGCTTTGAATGACGGATTTTCTTCCTCCATGTCGTCCTCTGCAGCCCGTTCTCAGGAACCCTGCACTGCGCCCATGAAGAACGGATCCAGGGCGAGAACCTACCTCCAGGGCTGCTGTCGGGACCTCTGGGGCCGCGAACTGGAAAAATCTCATCGGCGGATGCCAGGCCCCGCTCGCTGCCTTCCCCCTGCCCTTTTCTGGGGGAGGACACACTGTGCAGCGCCTGCGCAGCGCTTCCTCGGCTCGCGCGCAGCTCCCAGGCAGCTCCTGGGCAGCGTTTCCTAAGCTCCTGGGTAGCGCCTGGGCAGCTTCTGGGCAGCGCTTCCGATGCTCGTGGAGAAAGTGGTGCCGCTGCTCCCTAGACCTGCCCCGGCGTGCCTTCCAGCCAAAGTTTCGGGGAGAGTGGAACTCCTGGACGAGCAGCGGTGTCGGCATGCATCTTGTCCCCCTCTGCCCATTCCTCTCCCGCTGCTCTCCCCCCCACTCGCTGGGCAGCAGCGGCGGCCAGGCCCTGCCCGGCTGATCCCCCAGATCTCGGACCTCGCGCTGACTTCACACCGACACGTAAGAGGGACCCAACTCGACATCGCGTCGGCACCCTCAGCGTGCTGGCGCGCTTGCATCTGAACGCGCCAGGTTTGGGCCGCCCCCCCCTCTGCTATCAACTGCAGTGCGTACGCGGCGCATCCTACAGCGCGCATTGGTTTCCCGAGGGGGGGCCAGTCGACTGAGCGGCGCGTTTTCCGCCCGGGGACCAGTCCCGAGTCCCAGCCCAAATCCTAAATCGTCCTGTTCGAACGTCTTTGAATACTCTCAGGCTTGAATGTGTTTGAACATCTCTTCGGACCAGTTGAATTCTGTACATTCCAAAATAACCCGAAGACATTCAAACATGACTTGTGCGTATTGCTCCCAACCATCCTGTGGTGTTGGGTCCTCGTTTTGAACAGACAGCGCCCCGCGTCTCCTCTCCTCCTCGTCCCCCTCCTCCCTCTTCCCATCCCCCTCAGGCCGCATGCGTCAACGCCACCCAGGACAGCGCTTCGTGACCCCACAGTGAGCTCCACCGAAGGCCCCAATGGCAGGGTCCGCATGCGGGGGCCGCCACCCATTTTGGCACACCCCTCGCACGAGGATCGTGGCCCCACAGGGAGCTCCACCGAAGGCCCGAGCGGCAGGGTCCGCATGCGGGGACCGCCACCCATTTTGGCACACCCCTCACGAGGATCGTGGCCCCACAGGGAGCTCCACCGAAGGCCCTCCGCATGCGGGGACCGCCACCCACTTAGGCACGCCCCTCACACGTTTCGTGGCCCAACAGGGTTCGTGGCCCCACAGGGAGCTCCACCGAAGGCCCCAGCGGCACGGTCCGCATGCGCCCGACGCCCACTTTGGCACACCCCTCACACGGTTCGTGGCCCCACAGGAAGCCCAACGAAAGCGGAACCCACAACGCGGTGTTCACAATTGCGCATGCTTGGGTCTCTCGCCGGGAAAATTCTGGCCCTGGTTGGGGCCACGACGCCGGACCTAGCCAGACGTCATCGCGAGTCGGCCCAGCAGCGCCAGACCCCATGGCGGTGGAGCCCGACGGCGTCTGCTTTCGCACGGCCTTCGGGGTGCCATTCGGATGTTCGAATCGAATTGGCGGAATTCCGCGGTTGCACGCTCGCGCGAAGGATCTTTCGAGGCGCGCCCCGCCGATCGCTGATGCGACGCGACCATACGGGCTTGCACAATTGCGTTGGGCCCCCACGGGAGCCCCTTAAGCCGCGCACCAAAGGTCACTCTAGCCTAGGGTCACTCTTACGCTGTAGTCGCTCACAGCGTGGACCCCTGGAGGTCTGGGCCCCTTTCCCCAGGACCTGCTGTTCGTCCCAAGTCATTTTGCGCCCGTCCCGCGGGCTGGCGACGGCCCAAGGAAGCCGAAAATTCCCAAAAACATCCCGTCGCCATTCTTTACGCAACGCGAAGAAATTGTTTTCGCGCCATGATTCGGGCTTCCCGCGGCCGCTCGGGACGAACCAGCACCCTCGGAATGCCCTCGGTGCTGCCTGAAGCCATCCCGAGGAGTCCGCAGAACTCTACGCAAGCGTCCGGATATCTCCACAGAACGCGAGGAGGCGGGGGACGTCGGCAGCGACGACGGCGGCGACCGCAGCCGCCTGGCCAGCCCTGAGGGGGGCCCAGGCCCTTCCCCTCGCGCGGCCGCCCTCCACCGCCGCAGGCGATGCGGCGGCTGGTCGCGGCGGGGCGTGGCGGGGAGCGGTGCTAGCAGTCTCTGTCCTCCTTTAATATTTCGACAACAAACCGCCACCGCTTCGCCGGCGTAGGCTTCCTTGGGCAGACACAGGAAAGGTTTTAACAAAGGCTTTCTCTCCCTCTCGCTCTCTCTCTCTCTCTCTCTCGCTCTCGGTCTCTCTCTCTCTCTCTTTCTCTTTTTCTCTCTCTCTCTCTCTCTCTCTCTCTCTATATATATATATGTATACCTATACGACCACCCTTCGGGTGATAAGGAGGTTGTGGTGGGGGAGAGGGGGGAACCAACATCTGACTCAATCGATCTCACTATCGATCTCACTCAACAAGACACCACGGGACACCACGGGACACCGGGGGACACTTGTCGATCTCACTATCGATCTCACTATCGATCTCACTCAACAGGACACCACAGGACACCACGGGCCACCACGGGACACCACAGGACACCGCGAGACACCTCTCGATCTCACTATGGGTCCCACTATCGATCTCACGATTGATTTCACTCAACTGGACACCACAGGACACCGCGGGACACCACAACGATGTCACTATCGATCTCACTATCGATCTCACTCAACGGGACACCACGGGACACCGCGGGACACCGCGGGACACCTCTCGATCTCACTATCGGTCTCACTATCGATCTCAAGTTTTGGGACACCACGGGACACCAGCGGGACACCACATCGATCTCACGATCGATCTCACGATCGATCTCACTGTCGGTCTCACTCAACGGGACACCACGGGACACCAGCGGGACACCGGCGGGACACTGCGGGCCACAGGCCGCCGGAGAAGAATCATTTGGTCCGGCCGCGGCCCAGCCACAGGAGGATTTCGGGACACCAGCGGGACACTGGCGGGACACCGCGGGCTCTTCTCAAAGACACCCCCGAGAGGCCCCCAGAAGGCCCCGGAAGCGTTCCCAAGAGGCCCCCGGGCACTTTCCAGGGGCTCCCAGAAGGTTTCAGAGGCACTCCCAAGAGCTCTCCAGAGGCTCCCACACGGCTTCTCTCAAGAGGCTCCCAGAGGCTCTCTCCAAAGGCTCTGTGGCCTCCACCCCAAGAGCGTGGCCCCTTCGCGGGTTCCTCAGGACACGTCGGCCCATCCACCCTCGCGCGGCCAGCGTGCCCTGGGCCTTCCTGCTCCAGAGCATCGCCCCTGATTGGAACAAAAACCACACCCCACACCTCTTGAGACACACATCGCCTGGGAGGGGAAGCAAAAAAGCCCTGCTTGGACCACCTGGAGACGTCCCAGGCCCCCTTTCCGTGGACCCCTCCCGCACGGAGCGTGTCCCAAGAGGTGTGGGGTACGGTTTTCTCCATACCAAACGCCCGCCCCCCCTTCGCCTTCCTCCCCCCCGCCCCTTGCTCGCGCCCCCCCCTGTTCCTGCGGCTGCTGTTGCTGCCCCTGCTGCCCCTGCTGCTGCTGCTGCTGCTGCTGCTGCTGCTGCTGCTGCTGCTGCTGTTGCTGCAACTGCTGCTGCCGTTGCTCTCCCTCCGCCTCGTGCTGCTCCGCCTGCCGGACCCCCCGCCGCCCCTCCATCCCTGCTCCCCACTGTCTCTCTATCCCCCGACGACGACGACGACGACGACAGCGGCGACGACGCCGACGACGACGACGACGACGACGACGACGACGCCGACGACGACGACGACGACGACGACCACGACCACGACCACGACCACGACCACGACCACGACCACGACCACGACCACGACGACGACCACCACCACCACCACCACCACGACGACGACGACGACGACGACGACGAGGGCGAGGACGAGGACGAGGAGGACGAGGACGAGAAGGCCCCCGGGAGGCCCCCAGAGGTCCGCGCTGCTTCTGTTGTTGCCAGAGCTGCTGCTGGAGCTGTTGCTGCTGCTACTGCCGATGGTGCTGGATCTGCTGCTGCTGCTGCTGCTGCTGCTGCTGCTGCTGCTGCTGCTGCTGCTGCTAGCGCTGCTCCAGACGCCATCAGGATCATCAAGCAAACAGCGCACCCTGAGGCAATAAGCAGCAACGAGCGCGCGCTCAATCCTCTGGCATTCGTGGACGGCAGTCCACGGGTCAGCCCCAGTTACTTCCAACGCTGGGACCAGCGCGCGCGAGAAGGGCGAGCGGAGGAGGAGGAGGAGGAACGAACGACTTGCCGAGAGCGGCGCTCGTCTCTTGTCATCAGCGCTCGCGCGGCCCCAGGCCGCCGACGAAGTACGGAGGGAGCCTCAGGGCACGGCGAGTGGCGGCGACGGCCGCTGCTTTCTTGTTGTAGATGTTCGCCTGGAGGACGGGCACCCTGATCTCGTTGGCGGAGTTCGGGTGGTCCTCGACGTCGGGGTGGGCACCCGTGTAGTGGAAGGTCTTGGTCGGCAGCCCGATGCTCTCGTGCTGGACCCGCTGGTAGTTGCACGCCTTGAACGTCTTGAAGGCGACTGCGAAGCGCGCGATCGCGTGGTCGATGTGGTCATCTCCGACCTCGTTGCCATTGAGCGCCATGCGTGTCAGGATGGAGCATGAGACAGGGCCCCTCGGCAAGCACATATGCGACCACATCCTCGGACAGGTCATGCAGCGGCTGATGTCGTCGACGTTGCGGGCGCGCGCTCTCTCGTTCGGATCTTTGGGAGATGGTTGGGTAATAATGATCTGGTGCTCCGAGGGCACCCTTCAGATCGTTTCTATGGCCAGTGTCTTTTCCAGTGGTTTGCCGCACAGTATGACTGGATACTCCAAGGCACGGATACCCCAGATTTCATGGCATTGTCGCTTTGTCCGAAGCTGTTCCTCAAGCTTTCCAAGAACCAGTACTCATCCACAGACAGTAGACATCCATATCTTATCGTACTCATCCATCCGGCGGCACCGCCGAGAGCAGAGGGACGAACCCCAGCATCATCGGCACCGAGAGCAACACGACGGGCTCCAGCAGCAGCAGCACCGGGAGCAGCACGACGGGAGCTAGCAGCACCGCCGAGACCACCACGACGGCGACCAGGGTCTGCGCGGCGACCAGCAGCACCACGAAAACCACGACCACAACTGCGACAAAAAGCAGCAGCAGCGGCAGCAGCAGCAGCAGCACAACCACCACTACGACTACGACCAGCAGCGCCACCACCACCAGCACGGTGACCAGCATCACCACCACCACCACCACGGCGACCAGGGGCAGCCCGGCGACCAGCAGCACCATGACAACCACTACCACGACTGCGACAACAAGCAGCAACAGCAGCAGCACCACCACCACCACGCCTACGACCAGCAGCGCCACCACCGCCAGCACGGCGACCTGCACCACCACCACCACGACGGCGACCAGGGGCAGCACGGCGACCAGCAGCACCACGACAACCACTACCACAATCGCGACAACAAGCAGCAGCAGCACCACCACCACCACCACTACCACTACGACTACGACCAGCAGCGCCACCACCACCAGCGCGGAGACCAGCACCACCACCACCACCACGACGGCGACCAGGGGCAGCACGGCGACCAGCAGCATCACGACAACCACTACCACGACTGCGACAAAAAGCAGCAGCAGTACTACCACCACCACCATTACGACAACGACCAGCAGCGCCACCACCGCCAGCAAGGCGACCAGCACCACCACCACCACCACGATGGCGACCCGGGGCAGCAATGCGACCAGCAGCACCACGACAACCACTACCACAACGGCGACAACAAGCAGCGGCAGCAGATGCAGCAAAACCACCACAAACACCACGACTACGACCAGCAGCGCCACCACCACCAGCACGGCGACCAGCACCACCACCACCACCACGACGGCGACCAGTGGCAGCGCGGCGACCAGCAGCACCACGACATCCACTACAACTACAGCGACAACAATAAGCAGCAGCAGTAGCAGCACCACCACCACCACCACAACCACTACGACTACGACCAGCAACGCCACCACCACCAGCACGGCGACCAGCACCACCACCACCACCACCACGACGGCGACCAGGGGCAGCACGGCGACCAGCAGAACCACGACAACTACTACCACAACTGCGACAACAAGCAGCAGCAGCGGCAGCAGTAGAACCACCACCACCACCACCACCACCACTACGACTACGACCAGCAGCGCCACCACCACCAGCACGGCGACCAGCACCACCACCACCACGACGGCGACCAGGGGCAGCACGGCGACCAGCAGCACCACGACAACCACTACCACAACTGCGACAATAAGCAGCAGCAGCTGCAGCACCACCACCACAACGCCTACAACCAGCAGCGCCACCACCACCAGCACGGCGACCAGCACCACCACCACCACGACGGCGACCAGGGGCAGCACGGCGACCAGCAGCACCACGACAACCACTACCATTACAGCGACAACAAGCAGCAGCAGCAGCAGCAGCACCACCCCCACCACCACCACCACCACCACAACCACTACGACTACGACCAGCAGCGCCACCACCACTTGCACGGCGACCAGTTCCACCACCACCATGACGGCGACCAAGGGCAGCACGGCGACCAGCAGAACCACGACAACTACTACCACAACTGCGACAATAACAAGCAGCAGCAGCAGCGGCAGCAGCAGAACCACCACCACAACCACTACGACTACGACCAGCAGCGCCACACCCACCAGCACGGCGACCAGAACCACCACCACCACCACCACCACCACCACTACCACGGCGACCAGGAGCAGCACGGCGACCAGCAGCACCACGACAACCACTACCACAACTGCGACAACAAGCAGCAGCAGCACCACCACCACAACGACAACGACAACGACTACGACCAGCAGAGCCTCCACCACCAGCGCGGCGACCAGCACCACCACCACGACAGCGACCAACAGCGCCACCACCACGACGGCAGCCAGCAGCACCACCAGCGGCCCAACCACCACCACGACGAAGGAGGGCGGCTGCTGGCGGGACCCCGGCGCTCTGGCGGGCCGCCGCAGCAGGCGGGCGGGCGGGGCCCCACCCGCGCCACAAGGCGAGGAGGAGAGGGGGGCCGCGGAGACTGGGCCGCGGCCGCCGCCCGCTGCCGCGCGGGCGCGCCTGGCAGCGGCGGGCGGGGGGCCCGCGCGGACGCCGGCGCGGCAGGGGGCGACGGCGGCCAGCGGCGGCTGGCGGCGGCGGGCCGGCGGCAGCGGCTGGGCCCGTCACGGAGGCCGAGGAGGCCGAGGAGGCGGCGGGGGAGGCGGGCGCTGGGGCGAGGAGGCGGAGGGCGGCAGCGCGGGGACCCCGCCGCCCTTTGGCTAGGAGGAGCTCGGGGAGGCACGCCAGAGCGGGCCCCGAGTGAGGGTGGGGCTAGAACGCCCGCGACTCGCGGCGGCCGGGGGGGGCCCGCAGCGCAGCCGCGCCAGGAGCGAGACGAGGCGCCGCGGCCGGCGGAGCCCCGCGGCGAGGGGGCGGAGGCGGAGGCGGCGGGCTGCGGTTGGCTGGGGCCCGCCAGGGGCCGGCCGAGGCGCGCGGCGGGCGGCGCGCTGGCTGGCGGAGGCGGGGGGCGCCGAGGCGGGCGGGGCCAGGCTCGGCCGCCCGCCGGCAGGCGGGGCGGGCGGGGGCGGCGGCGGCGGCGGGGGGCGGCAGGCCTGAGGCCTAGGACGACGGCGGCGGGCGGCGGGCCACGGCAGGGCCCCGCGCGGCGGCCTCGGCTAGGCGGGAGCCCGCGCGAGCAAAAAAAGAAGTTTTATCCTACGAACCTGTGGTGTTACTTATGCGATGGCGCACAAATGGAACCGCCCGTGGAAGGATGGGCCTGGAGGCTCAGGCACTCAGCACTTCACTCCAGGTGGAGGAAAAGGTGGTGGAAAGAGCCAAGACACTCGTTTGCCCGCCTATGTGATGAGTGCCGTGGAATTTTCTACAGCAGTTAATGACGCATTCCTTCGTCGTGGGCATGCTAAGCAAGCCGCAGCAGAGAACATGACATTCACGAAAAAAATAAGAAGACAGCATTGAAAGCAGCGACGACGATCTTTGGTGGTGGAGGCGCCCCGAAGTCAAAGATGTTCAAGTTCCTGGAGTTCGCTAACCGCAAGCTCAAAGCCCATGGCAGTGACACGTCAAATGCAAGCAGCGCAGCATCGAGTCAGACATGAAGCAGTTCCAGCAGTTCGACGGCCAGATCAATTTCAAGAAAATCGTGAAGCAAGCATCCAGGATGAAGAAAGCAAAGACAACAGAAAAAGCCAAAGCCGCAGCCCAATCCTCGTCAAGGTCCGACCTAGACAACGCGAAGAAGCAGCTCGCCGAAATGCAGCCGACCATGCTTGACATCACCGCCGCCAAACGTGAGCCCGCCGACTCGCCGTCGACGCCCGTGGCCAAAGTCACGAAGGAGCTTAGAATCACCCTGAAGCCATCGCCCGAGGACCTCAAAAGTGCCCAGCAGAAAGCGATGAAAGACATACTGCAGGCGATGGCCCCCTCAGAAGACATCAGCTCGCACCCAAAGGATCCCAAGGAGTTCTGCGAGTCCACCGGCAGCCTCACGAGGATCAACGCCTCCGACTGGAATAACCTCCCGAAAGAGAATGGCCTCACCACGACCTCGAGCATGGGCCAAGCAAAGCGCGAAAGCTGAGCTGCTGCTGAACCACTTGACGTCGCCAGAAGATGAGGAGTGAAGATGTTGATCGGACTACTCTCCCTGTTCGAGGCTGCCACCTCCGTGATGGTCCTCGCGTGCTGGGCCCCGTGCGCCATCTCCTCAGACCTCGCGCAGTGGGCCCTCGAGGCACTGACGCCGTTGCGGGGGAGGCTAAGTGATTTCATCGCGCTTTTCTTGGTCATTTGCTGAATGCATGTTTTGCTGCTGCCTTTTTCTTGTGGGAGGGCGCAGCAGCAGCAGCAGCATCAGTAATGATGTCTGAGATTTACCACCCTTCGTCTCCTGCTTTCCTCTCTCTTTCACTGCATCTGAAACAACGCGTTGCAGAATCTAGTGTTGAGCTTCATAGTGTGAACTCTATCTTTTCTGACCCTCCTGGCAGCCACCTCTGGGCAGCCCCTGGCGACGCAACGACGACCAGCAGCAGCAGAACCACCACGACGGCGACCAGCACCACTACTACCACTACGACTACGACGGCGACAACCAGCACCACCACTACCACGACCACCAGCAGCGACACCAGCACCAACACTGCGACGACTACCAGCACAAGCGCCACCAGCAGCACGACGACGACTGCGACCCCCACCGACGGCAACGCAGCGACGACCAGCAGCAGCAGCAGCAGTACCACCACGACAGCGACCAGCAACTACGCCACCAGCACGACCACTACGACGGCGAAAAGCAGCGCGAAGACAGTGGCCAGCAGCAGCACCACCACAGCCAGCGCGACGACGACAGCCCGCAGCACCGACGCCCAAGCCCGCTCCAGCACTACCACAACACTGAGCAGCGACGCAGCAACTGCCAAGAGCATCAGCGCCACGACAGCGACCTGCAACACGACAGACTGCGCAGCCGACGCCACGACGACCAGCAGCACCACCAAGACCACGGCAACCAGCAACGCAACCGCCAGCACCGCCACCGCGACCACAACCACGAGCACAACGGCGGCGACTACCACGACAACGACCAGCAGCAGCACCGCCACCAGCACCAGCACCTACACCGAC